TATGGGACCAGAGAAAATAATGATAATTCAAGTGACAACTGTTCATCTTTAGCATGGATACTGTTTCAAATTTACCTCCCAAGACACAGATTAAGGGAACTCCTGCACCTTTCTCTAGAGACAGGAAGGTAAAATGCAATCACTTTAGAAAGCAAACAATCACCATGCTACTAACGTTATATTACTAGAAGAAAAAAAAGTGGTTTTGGTTTTGTTTTTTTTTTTTTAATTTTTAAGAGATATCATATATACTTTGCTTTTGTTTCAGGTATCTTAACTCCAAGCCAAATGTTAACATAAAAAAATTGAACTATTGGAAGGTTCTGAGGTTTTGGGATTTTCTTTTTCAAATTTCTCTTCAATTTGATATCACTAATATAGGAACTATGAAATAAATATTAATATATTATCTCATTTATCAGCTATTTATGAAGGTCACTCCAAAAGTAATGTATTTATTTCCATGGAAACTAAAACAGATACAACAAACATAGTAACACTAGTTGATAGAGCAAATTCTCAGCTACTAAATACTTTTTCAATATAGCCACCACCATTAGTTGCAGCGATGACCTATAGCCTATGTACTGAGCTTGTAAAAATCTTCATGGCTGTCAGGGACCACCCACATCCACTGGTTGGTCTCCATAAATGTTCAGTAAGCATCAATGCATGTCAATGGATGCCATTTTTTCCACATGGAGGAATTCAATGACACACATTTGCTTCATCCACACTTCCATGTCAGACACTGTTTTGTCAGACCACACCTCTGCTGCCATCTGTCACAAAGCAACAAAATATAATGGAATACTGTCGGGAAGGTTCAACCTCTACTGCCATACCAACATCTGACTCTGATGTCACAAGCCAACATAATAAAATAGCAGGCATTAGTTTCAGAGCAGTCCTCTGTAACTTCCTAAGGTGAATGCAGTTCAGCCTCTTGTACCTTCTTTTCTAGTATAAAACTGTTTAAGATTAAGATGTAGAGCAGAAGAAAGGTTTTTCATTCTATGAACTCTAGAATCTCTCTACTTACAGGTATTATGTGAATTGTCACAGGTCAATGTTTTATATTATTTTTCCTATTCTGTACTAGGGATCTGTCTTTTTATCTTTTATGAAATAATTCTTCTATTGAATTGAGGCCCTGAGCTTATTTTGAATTAAAATCCAGACTTGACTATCAGTGAGAAAGAAATTGGTAGGATTATCACAGTCAAAGGGCTTGGTCAATGGAACTATGTCCAGCTGAAGTCCACTGATGAGTGGGACTCTTTTGACAAAGGCAATACTCTTTTGACAAAGGCTCCATCTTGGTACCATCGTTCTTCAACATGTTTATTGAGAACAGCCCTGCAGAGGACACAGGGGCTCTGGTGGATGAAAAGCTTGACATGAGCCAGCACTGTGTGCCTGAAGCCTGGAAAGCCCGCATGAGAAAGCTGGGACTACAGGTAAAGGTAAGGTTACTATTAAAAGAACATCAGCTTAAGATTCCATGAATGTTCCTAGAAGTATAACAACATAAGCAGATTCGTAAGAGCAAACACAGAATGCTAAAAGAATATAGTAAGACAAAAAGAGCAAGTAGTTATTTCATCCCTGCTTCACTCTTAGAAATCTGTAGAAGGAGAAAATCCTACATACTCACTGTAATTTTTAAATCAAAATAAAAATAATAATTCCTTTTCAACTGAAAAATTACTGATCAGTTTTGAAATAGAAGCATCTATATAGCCCAAAAATTATGAATAATCAGGGACTTTAATTTTTTTTTCATACTGATACATATCAATACCTTCAGGAGAAAAGCTTATTCATAAGCTTATCATATGTTAAAACCATTCTTACACATAATGGAGATGATACCCACAGTATTAATGTAACACAGAAATTTCAACATTATCAAAATTAAAGCTAAGAAGCATCATAAATATATTTTATCTTAATCACATGTATCACCAACTGAGGTACGCTTCCATACATCATGAAGGACATTGGTTTACTGATGAAATGCTTAACTGAAAGAGTAACGGATATGAAAAAAATACTTACATTCTCAACAAATATATTGTTTTCAGCAGGAAAAAAACAAGCACCAGAGCATAATAGAAGTGATTATTATAGTGTTGTTTTACATTTCAGGGGTTTTAACAGGTGTTTCCATATTACAGTCACATGTCCTTTGGAGACTAATTTACAGAACTATGTACTAGTACAATTTTATTTTTATTTAGCAAGCAATTCAGATACACCCATAAACATAGGCTCACTTATAAAAGGCATTCACAGTTTGGAAAGCAGTTCAGCACACATTTGAGTAATATCATTCATCTGTGCACCAAATAACTTTGTTGAATCCAAGCTTGAATGGTAACATAAAACTCGAGCTAAAGCTGTTGATATCACAAATATGCAATACTCAATCCACTATAATTTACATCCCTCGTCTCTTTTCATCTGTTGTTCCCCACATACACTTCCCTGACATATTTGTCTCCAACTTTGCCTCCAGAGTTTCCTCTGATTCCATCCTCCTACCTCTCTGCAACTACTGTCCATGGGTAAGATACTCTTGACCTAGAAATGAAAACTGCAATTTAAGCCTCTGGAACTTTTTCAGTTTTGAGTTATTTTCTTACAGGATCTCTACTATTCACAAGAACTTCTAACTGATGTGGCACTTCTATAGATTAAAAAGTAATTGTTAGAAGTTAGACAAGCAGCAAGTCATACAGCTAAGCAGAAAACAGTATATTTCTTATTTTGCCTGGTGTTTCAGTCTACCTATCCACACAAACAGATTCTTACATATTCAAACATGCATACAGTATATTTACTAATCAGGTTAATTTTAAAGAGAAACTGATTTAAGAAAGGGACAGGTATGTAATGTTCTTTGGTTATTTAATTTTAATAGCAAGGAACATTACTTATGTTGCATGTATTTATGCATACGTACATACATACATGCATACAAAAACTACCAAAGAAGTATATTTTCTAGAAAACAAGTTTACTAGCAAAGGGTTCTTCCTTGAAGCAAAAAGAAGCCAAATACTACTCTGTGGTATGCAGTGACCCAACAAGAGACGACATACACAGACTAAAATGCAGAACATTTCACTAAAATGTAAGGAAATACTTCTTTATTGTGAAGAAGACTGAATGTGGGAAAGGATTAACCAGAGTGGCCATGGTATCTCCACCCACTGAAATACTCAAAACTCAGACAGGCGTGGCCCTTAGCCCCCTGCTCTAAGAAGTGGAACTGGAATGTATTGTCTTCAGAAATACACTTCAACTTCAGCTAGCCTACAGATCTATGAAAAGCAGGGGGAAAACCATGATAGAATTCTATTAAAATTATTAAAATTCTAAAAGATAATATCCATTTTCTTTCTTATCCATCTTCTTAAAATAGTTTTCCAATCTTGTATTTCTGTAAACCTTTAAAGAAATAAAAATCATGTGATCTACTACATACTGGTGTCAAACTAAGTCTTGTGATCCACAGAAGGAAGATATGGGGCCATCACTCAGACCAACACAGGTAAAAGTTTCTGCCACAGCAGAATGGCCAACCTGAGAGACATAAAGAGCATCCTTTCTGTGACACTCCTACTGCAAACACTGAAATTGAAGAGTCCCCAATGGAATGCAGCTCCACCTGGACTGCCATGAGTTCATGAGACCAGATGGGATCCACCCGAGACTGCTGAGGGAGCCAGCAAAGGTGATCACCAAGCCACTTTCGATTATCTGTCAGTGTTCCTGGCCAACCAAAGAGGTTCTAGATGACTGGAGGCTTGCCAGTGTGACTCCCATCCACAAGAAGAGTAGTAAGGAGGATCTGGGGAGCTGATCAGCCTGACCTTGGTGCCAGGAAAGCTTATGAAGCAGATCATCTTGAGAGAAATCACATGGCATGTGCGGGCCAATTGGTGGATCAGGATCAGTCAGCATGGGTTCATGAAAGAATGGTCTTTCTTGATTAACCTTATCTCCTTCTATGATTGATGGTGAATGAGGGAAAGGCTGTTGACATAGCTCCCAGAGTTTTCTCCTGGAGAAGCTGGCAGCCCATGCCTTGGACAGGTACACCCTTTGCTGGATAAAGAACTGGTTGCACGGCCAGGCACAGAAAGTGGTGATGGAGTTAAATCCCGCTGGTGACTGGTCACAAGTGGTGTTCCCCAGGGGTCAGTAGAGGGGCCTGTCCTGTTTAAAATCTTTACTGATGACCTGGATGAGGGCACTGAATACACCCTCAGTAAGTTTGCAGATGACATCAAGTTGGCAGAAAGTGCTGATCTGCCTTGTGGTAGGAAGGCCCTACAGTGTGAATCAGGCAGGCTTGGATAGCTGGGCAGAGGCTGGGATGAAGTTCAAGAAGATCAAGTGCTGGGTCCTACCTTTGGCCATGCAAACCCAGGCAATGCTACATGCCTGGGGTAGAGTAGCTGGAAGACTGTGAAGAGGAAACAGACCTGGGGGCATTAGTCAGTGCTCAGATGAACATGAGCCAGCAGTGTGCCCAGGCAGCCAAGAAGGCTAATGGTATCCTGGCTTGTATCAGAAATAGTGCTGCTAGCAGGAGCAGGGAAGTGATCATAGCCCTCTCTCTGTACTCAGCCCTGGTGAAGATGTACCTCAAGTACTGTGCTCAGTTTTGGTTCCCTCACAACAAGAAAGACATCAAGGCTCTGAAGCGTGTTCAGCAACAAAACGGGTGAGGGGTCTGGAGAACCAGCTTTATGAGGAGTGACTGACAGAACTGGCATTTTTTAGTCTAGAGAAGAAGAGGCACAGGGGAGACCTTATCATTCTCTACAGCTACCTGAAGGGAAGTTGTGGTGAAGGGCAGGTAGGCATCTTCTCCCATGTAACTAGGGAGATAGGACTAGAGAGAATGGCCTCAAGTTGCACCAGGGGAGATACAGGTTGGACATTAGGAAATATTTGTTCTCCAAAAGAGTGGGCAGGTGCTGGAACAGGCTGCCCAGAGAGGTGGTGAAGTCATCAATTCTGAAGGTGCTCAAGAAATGTTTAGATATTGTACTGACAGACATGATTTAGAGAGAAATACAGGTGATAGGTGGACAGCTAGACTGGATGATCTTGGAAGTCTTTTCCAACCTTAGTGGTTCTATCATTCTATTGTATGATTAAGCCTTTGCTTTGCTTCTTCAGCTGTGTATGTTCTGGTGTGTACTATAGCAAGAGTCACTGAGTCACTGGTATGGGACAGCTGCTTACAGGGACTGACAAACACGGTGATAAAACAGCTCCATGGGGCTGTCAAGACAGCATTAAAAACAGCCTCTAGATTTGGGGAAAAAGATAAAAACCAGAATACATTTTAACTCTAGTCATGTGACTTGTGAGTCGTTTTCACAGGAGCTATGAAAGGAAATGCATCGTAGAGGCAAGAACAGTTTTTGGCATACACTCTCAATCTCAAGAGACGAGATGCTCCTATATCTTATACTTCACATATAATTTAAAAGAAAAAGTTCTGGTGTCAAAGAAGTTAGGCATGAGAACTTAAGGTGACAGATGACATTATACACAAAAGGAAAGAGCAACTGCAGGGAAACTGAGATGCTTACATATATCTTTGCCCACATTAGTACAAGTGGACAAATTTGTCTTTGAATTCTGACACAGAATTCAAACACGCAGCTTTAGGCGCCCATGCATGATTCAACAGTATCTACTGATAAATATAATTGCCTTTCCCAAAGCAAAAACCAGCAAAATTCCCACTCCTAAAATTCACAACTCAGGTCTCCTGTTCCCCATTCTGAGGAATCAGCAAGACAACCTGTTTAGCTCAATTAACAAGGCTAAACGCTACAAGAATAGTAAGAAATAAGTAAGTTTATTGGACTCTCAATCTGCTTTGGATTATACGGCTTTAGATAAGAACAAAATGTTATTCATCTTATATTCTGATCAAGACAGGGAATAAATAACATTTTATTCAATCTGAGTATCAACTGAGAAAGAAAATTAGATTTTTCTGCTTCAGGTTTCCAAGATTTCAAGTTGGGCTATTTTTGTAGACAAGAACTACCTGCTCTACAGCAGTATGACACTCTTGATCTAGATTAAACACACCGTATTTCTGCAAAATTAGCCATTCTTACACTTGAACAGTCAAAGTAAAATTGCAAGTATCATACAACTCTAGTCAGGAGTCAGGTTTCCAACTGTGAAATGAAATTTCATGAAGCAGCTGAGTACATGCATTCCAAAAATCTTCACCCCTACCCCTATGTGTAGTCTAACAATTCCCTTATATTGAATTGTCATTTACATAATGGACTGTTTTAAAGGAGAGAGTGTGATGCCAGCAACAAGCTGCTGAAACTGACAAGTTGTTCAGAAAAGCTTTGCATAAGTCTCAAGACACAGAATAAGACAAATAAGAGACATAATAAAGGATAACTTTTCAAGCAATAGAAACTTGTCATGATATTTTACAAATACGTCAAGCATCTGATAAAATTTAGAGCCAAAGAGGACTAAACATAACAGAAAGTCCATCTGAGTTGAATTCTAGGGTGTATTCCTACAGATACTTCAGAGGATTGTCCTTTACATTTTGGAAACGAATATTAAGTTGATTTTAAAAATTAGAATATCGGTTCAAGTGAAGTTCTGAATATGGATTTTGGAACTCCTAGTTCTACAGACTTCATGCAAGATACTGCACACAATCTCAGTACCTAACACTTGGACATTAGAATTTTCATACAGTCATAAATGCTCAGGCTCCAATTTCCACTTACAGCTAAATTCACAATCCACTGGCTCACAGACTTGATTAGGAGAGCTGACTGGCTTCCAAACTGGGAAAAGAGAGGCAGACACTGACTAGAACCATAACACTACTTTTACATATAATCATGCAATCATACAATCAAAAGAAGGGCTAGGGAGAATCTCCATCCCTTGATGGATGGTGAGGCCAACACAGTGACCAAGCAACCAGGCAGGATAAAACTGAGGTACTTAATGCCTTCTTTGCCTCAGTCTTTAATAGTAAGACCAGTTATTCTTTGGGCACACAGCCACTTGCACTGGTAGATAGGGATGGAAACCAAATAGGCCCTGCATAATCCATGATCAGGTGGTTTAGAACCTACTCCGAAAACTGAACAATCACAAGTCCATGGCGCCAGATGGATTGCATCCTGGAGTGCTGAAGGAGTTGGCAGATGTGGTTGCCAGGCCACTCTCCATCATCTTTCAACAGTCTTAGCTTATCGAGATTGTCCCAGTGGACTGGAAAATGGCAAGTATGATGCCCACCTTCAAAAAGGGCCGGAAAAATGATCCTGGTAGCTACAGTTTGGTGCCAAGGAAGCTCATGGAACAGATAACTCAGCAGTCATCATGGATCAATGAAAGGTCTACCAGGGGATCAGGCCAAGTCAGCACGGGTTTACGAATGGTAGATCCTGCTTGACAAACAGGATTTCATTCTGCGACAAGGTGACCCGCTTAGTGGATGAAGGTAAGGCTGTCAATGTGGTCTACCTGGACTTCAGTAAAGCCTTTGACACTGCCCCCCACAACATTATCGTGGAGAAGCTGACCGCCCACGGTTTGGATGAGCATACACTCCGCTGGGTGAAACACTGGCTGGATGGCAGGGCCCAAAGAGTTGTGGTCAGTGGACTTAAATCCAGTTGGCATTTGGTCACAAGCAGTGTCCCCCAGGGGTTGGTACTGGGACCGCTTCTATTAAACATTATTATAACCTATCTTGATGAGGGGATTGAGTGCACCCTCAGTAAGTCTGCAGATGACACCAAGTTGGGAGGGAGTGTTGATCTGCCTGATGGGAAAAAGACACTACAGAGGAACCTGGATCGAGTGTATCGATGGGCTAAGGTTAACTGTATGAGTTTCAATAGGGTCAAGTGTTTGGTCCTGCATTTTGATCACAACATCAGGGAACCCTACAGGCTTGGAGAAGAGTGACAGGAAAGCTGCCTGATGGAAGGAGAGGAAGTGGCCTCAGATTGTGCCAGGGTAGGGTTTTTGTCTTGTCAGTGGGGACATCTCAACTGCCATTAGTTTTCAGTTCTGATAGCAAGTGCCTTATAACTCCATCTTCAAATTCCTCAAGGACTCTGAAATGAATCTCGTCACATCCCAGGGATGTGTCCCAGACTCCTTGGGTGGCCTCAGACTTTATCTTCTTTTATGATGTGAGGAGCTTGGTTCCCTCAGTGACAGCCAATGAAAGTGAAAGCCACCTCAGGGTGAGGGATGAGGCCAAGTCACTGTGCTGAGAGCCCCGGCAGTACCCTGAGAGACTCCTAAGCCACAGGAGAGTGTCTGATGTCACTTCTCGTGATTTGATAGGTGTCTCAACCAGTCCTGGAAACGGGACAAGAGAAGCCTCCAAAAGTCCAGGTACTGGGGCCTATAGGTAAGGACATGTACAAGTTTAGGGGGGACCTTTTCTCTCCACACCCAGAGGGAATAGACTGGTAGGTCAGATGCTGGATCCAGGACTGGTGATCTCTCTCCACGCCTCCCACAGCCCTTTCTCTCTTTCACTCTTTCCTCCTAGAGTTGCTAAAGCAAGGTTTCCCAACAGTTAAGTAATTCAAGGCTTAATTTGATTTCCCATAAAAATTAGGTAGATATACTGGTGAGAGGGCCAAGGCCTCCAGGATAGTTGTTCTATACACATTTCCCATTCATGATAATGTTTATGCATGGACCATCACTGTTATTTCACATCAAGCCATCCCAAAGGAATTCAGGAATCTTACCTGCACCCAGTCCCTACAGGTGGGATGCAGCACTTAGAAAGAAAGATATTCCCAAACTGAGAATGGAAAGTATTCCTGGAAAGCATCAGGAGAGTGCTGACAGAAGAGCAATGAGGGAACATTTGAAACAGAATTCCTGAAGCAAAAAGAGGAGAATGCCAAACCCAATTTCTACCTAACACATTAGTGAAAAATCCACAATTTACTACTGACGAAACAGAGGAAATGCAGGAACAATTAGAGTTGGTTTAATCAGAGAAAAAGAAAGGCCTGTGCATTCATGTCAAATGTCAAGCATAAAAGGTTGACAGGAATGAAGGGGAAGGTACAGCAAATCAGGAACAGGAAAAGGAGGTAATATCTTAAACAGGGGTGGGTGCTGTGGGGGCGGACAGCCCATTGTGATGTCCCCAAGCAACAGGCTGTGACATCACCAGGTGACGATTGTGACAGCTGTGCCCTCACTGCTCATAGTGGGGTGCCGGCAGAGCCTGGCTCAGTCTGGCTCGTTCCTGGACCGTGCTGAGCAGCTCTGCGAGGCTTGGAGGTCGAGCAAATTCTTGGCTGTGCTGTGCTGGGTCGTGCCCCGCAGCATCGCTTCTGTTTCCCTGGCCCTGCCTAGTGCAGGCAGCCGGGACCCTACTGAGCGCACCCGCAGCAGCGGAGGTGAGTGGTGCGGGGACACCTGGGTCCCTCAGGGCAGCCGTGGGGAGCCTGGCCCCGTGCCAGCGGGGAGCACAAGATGGCCCAACAACGGGCTTGGGGGGGGCTTTCTGCAGAGGACTCGCACACCCTGGGACAGCGAGTGACTGTGACCTCCCTTCCTCTTGCAGGGCGAGACACCACCGCCGCAGCTGCGTTGAAGGAGAACAACTCGTCATCCTCGGTTCTCCCAGTGCCTGCAGCGAGAAGATCATGGCTGCAGAAGAGGCATGGATGTGTCCTGTCTGCCGCGAGGTGCGGCAGGACATGGCCTGCGCAATTCCATGCCATCACAGTTTCTGCTTTGGCTGCATCCAGCGGTGGGCGAGGCTGAGGGACAGCTGCCCGCTGTGCAGGATGGCCATGGAGACCATCCGGGTCTCCGTGCGGGGAGACAATCAGTACGTGGATTGCGTCGTCTCCCCGCCTGCAGTACCGGTGCCCGTCGGCTTCGGCACCACCACTGCTACTGGCCCTGACAGCGATGAGGACCTTCTTCCACCCCTTCCACCATCACCCCCTGAGCCCGTGGCCGAAGAGCTGGAGTGGATTGGCGGCCTCCTGCTGGAGGAATGGGCGACACTTTTCACTGAGAGACAAGACATCCTCAACCCGGTGATGCCCTGGCTGGAGCAGGAATTACGCCGCAATGGGGAACTGCGTTGGTGGAAGATCAAATGGATAAAGAGCATTATCCTGGCATTCCTGTGCCAGGTGGGGCCAGACAGGGACATCCTAGTGCGGTCCATAATGGACATCACGGGACCCATCACCGTACCACTCATCGATGGCCTCATCACAACCATTGAGAGCCAGTGTGGCCAGGCGGCCCGGAGGCTGCTGGGCCTCGAAGATCCTAGAGCTGCCCAGCCGCAGGAGGACGGCCCCGCGACCCCGTCCGGTCCTGCCGCCTCCCCGCAAGATACCGTCGCTCCCAGCGCCGTGCCCTCCGGCAGCTCCGCGGGTCCCGACACAGAGGAGCTCCCCGGCACGTCCAGCGGGGCCCTCGGCACAGGTCCCGGCGAGGAGCCGACACCCGAGGCAGCCGGTCCCTCTGCCCAGCGCCGCAGCCGCGGCCCCTCCGCTCACGGCCGGGGCAGGAAGCGCTCGGCTGGGGGGCGCCGGCGCCCCACCAAGAGGAGGGCCGGCAGCGCCCAGCGCGATCCTCCGCCCTGCAAGAGGCGGCGCTCCCGGCGCCTACAGAGGCGCTGTCACAGAGTTAACTAGATCTATCTATGCCCCTGACAGGGGCAATAGGCCCGTGGGCACCCCCTCGGCCGTACAAAATGGGAAGAAAAAGGATAAAGGGACAGGGAGATGCCAGCTAGACTCAAGAGAGGAAAAGAAAACAGTGGCAACGATCTAATGCAGGAAAACTTACTTTACTAACTGTGATATCAGAATGCGAGACAACACAATATAATACAATCTAATTGAAATTGAGATTAATAAATCAAAATAAAAAATAGTTCCTGAGAACGAGTCAAACTTGAAAGGCTTGGTACGGCTAGGAAAACACCCTCCAACACCCCCTGCAAGGCAGTAATTGACCGCCCAACCAGGAAGGGCCAGATCCCATGATTTCTGCCTTGAATTGGAGCATTAACACTTTAACTCCCAGTGCACTACATGATATTACGATGTGGAATACTGAAAACCAAAAATCACAAAACCATGACAGCAGCTTAGATACATTTCCAGTAAAAGATTAAAATGCAGAAGCATGTGTTCCCAGTGTCCGTCTCTCCAGACGGTTTGCCCTTCATGCCCACACCCAACACTGTGCCACACGCGAGCCAAGTGCTCTCAGCACCGCTGTGGATGTGCCACCATTAAATCCTTCTCCTGGTCCCTGTGCAGGGTGTCAGCTGCAGAGCCACTGCAAGCGGGATCCTCTGAAGGGAGGGCGAAGGCAGACAAAATACCAGCAGGTAGAGCTATTTTCAATAGCTGCCTATCTATGCACTATCAGGCAGAACACCTGTTAGTTCCCAGTTCATGTGGCTTGCTTAACTGCAGCACGTTTCACAAGCTCTCATCTCTAGATCTGTATCTGTGATGGGCTCAGCAGGCCCATTGGCCCAACCACCCAAAAAGAAGGGGAAAGGCAGAGAGGAAATAAAAGGAAACGAGGAAAAAGAACAGTAGCCATGATATGAAGAGGAAAACAAACATTGTTCACTAATTATAATAGTGAAAATGTGGGTTACTTGGGATTGAAACTAAAACATCAAGTATATGAGAGAGTTTCTGAAGACCGAGGTTTTTACTCTGATCTGCCAGGGAGCAAAGAGAACAATGCTTCTGACTTCCAGTGAGTTCCATCCCTCACGCCAACCAGAAAACTGGATCTGTGGGCCAAGGTAAACTGTATGAGTCTCAATATGGCCAAGTATCAGGTCCTGCATTCTGGTCACAACAGCCCCAGGCAACCCTACAGGCTTGGGGAGGAGTGGCTGGAAAGCTGCCTGATGGAAAGGAACCTTGGTGGACTGATGGACAACCGGCTGAATGTGAGCCAGCAGTGTGCCAAAGGTGGCCAAGAAGGCCAATGGCATCCTGGCTTGTATCAGGAATGCTGGTGAACAGGACTAAGGAAGTCATCCTGCTCCTGTACTTGGCATTGGTGAGGCCTCACCTCGAGTACTGTGTTCAGTTTGGGGCAGTTTCAGTACAGAAAGGACATTGAGGCGCTGGAGCAAGTTCAAAGAAGGACAAGAAGGCTTATGAAGGGCTTGGAGAATATGCCATACAAGGAGAGACTGAAGGAACTGGGGCTGTTCAGTCTGGGAAAAAGGAAGCTGAGACCTTATTGCTCTCTTCAAATATTTGAAAGGTGACTGCAGAGAGAGCAGGCTTGGTCTCTTCTCACTGGTGACAGGACGAGGGGAAATGGCCTCAAGTTGTGCCAGGGGAGGTTTAGGTTGGGTAACAGAAAAACCTTCTTTACAGAAGGGTTTGGTAATGTTTAAAATCCATTTTGATGTGGTGCTCAGGGACATGATTTAGCGGAGGGTTGTTAGAGTTACAGTAGTATGGTTAGGCTGTAGTTGGGCTCAATGATCTTTAAGGTCTTTTCCAACTTGAACAATTTTATGATTTTATGATTCAGAATAAACAAATGCACACTATGTCATCATTCCCTTTTCCTGCTGGTCTCACACTCTGTTTCACATTCAAACTGTCCAAATCTCTCCTACAGTTAGTATTCTAACACTAAATCCATACTCTGAGGGATACAAAATGCCTCTTCGCACTGGGAAAACCTTTACAGGCACTCTGTTAGGTCACTGATGATGAGCAACGTGGATTGTACAGAGTGTTCAGTTTAAGTACTTCAAGAGCAGATTTGCATTTTCATAATACAATGTGGCAATTTTAGGACCCAAGGCAGTGCAATCTCTAGTAAGGGCCACATTAAGTTCAATCAGAGAGGATGTCACAAACTTCTAACAATACATAACTTCCTTAGAAGGAAAGTACTTAAGCAGAAGAGTCTTAAACCTTAAAGCCTTCTAAAAAATGATGTCTTTCAGACACTTGCAACATTAAGTAAAAGATTTACTGACATCTAGCCAACCAAACCAGTTTTTTTAGCACAGGATTCATGAAGAGTCTGTTTTACAGAAGCCTCAAACTCTCCTGATTGTTCTGCCTTCTACAACAGACCAAGAATTGGAACTGACTAAGTTTGTGCAAAGCTGTAAACACAGCTCAAGAGGTAAGTGTTTTTTGTTTTGTCTTAATCTGAAGAGAATCTTATGAGAATCTTAAACACATTATTTGCCACAGCTTGCAGCTGCAGATCTGTTTCTGATGTATTCAAAAGATTCCCTGGATGGCAAGCTGGATTTTTATTCTAGATTGACCCTTATTATGGAATGCACTGTGCACATTTTCCCCTCCACAGAAATGTGTTTCTACTCCAAGGCAGTGTTTGCTTTGTTCAGCCTAAGGTACAAAGGGAAAAATACATCTTGTGTTGAGTTTACAAGGCAAGTTTTCAGTAGTAGGGAGCTCAAGAAGCTTCTGAGAAGCAAGATACCAGTTCCAGCTGACTACTGTGCGGCTCTCTGGACTGTTCATAGCTTTGCACAAAATTTGTTGTGGAAACTGACAAAACTACAGTTAGGCAGCAGTTGAAAACATACTGAAAACACTATTTTACTAAATAAATTAAGTGCACCATTTTCTGTATTCCAACTATGAAAAAAAATCACTGAAATACATCCTCCTTTCTTTGACCAATAACTGACTGCAGACCTTCTAGCATTAGTTCTTCTAATGAAGATGATGTGAATCATCTTCTTCATAGCTTCATTTGAAGTTAATATTCACTACTGCCTGAATTACACAGCAAATTCATAAGCAAGTCCAAAATTCAACCTGTCCCATTACAATGCTGAGCAATCATAGCCAGTTCTTAACAAATTTTAAAAAAATCTGTGCTCTGGCAAATATTACCTCTTTGTTTGCTTCACATATGAAGTGATCTAATAATTGGTGACACATAGCATAAAATAGAGGGTATCCGTGTACTTTGCATTCAATGTTTTAAGAAGATTTCATGGTAATGATTAAATATAGATGATGTATTCGATTTAGCCAGCATACTTAGTCTTGAAAATTTAAGTTTAGAACAGAGATTAAAAGTGAACGTGTCAACGGAGGGACAAAATTGCTTAACAGTAAATAAATCAGCTTGTCTGAACTAAATGCTAGTAACTGAATCAGAGTAAGATAAGAAATACGCATGGTTTAAGAAGTGATATTTACAGGAGGAAGAAATAATGCCTGCAGAAAATAAAACTTCTGGGACTTCATGTTAAATAGTGACTAGTAAAAGTCATATCAGCCTTGTCTTCTAAAGAACTTTTTGTAAAGTACAGAGGGTAACAAGAAGCACACAACCCAAACAATATCATCACTACCCCAGGATCAAAATATTTCAACAAGTTGTCAGAAGAGCTCCATTTCCCCTATGAAAAGCTGACTGGTTCACTACTTTTCCTTAAGATTGACAGTAGACAAACTACAACACTACCATCAAAAAAATGCTGCAGATCAAGAGAAAATCTTGTAGAAGTAAGCTTTGATGGAAGCTCCAGCTCTAAGCCCTGAAAACTAAGATATTAAAGACTTTTCAAGTCCTCAGTGTCAAAATTGAAGTAACATAATTTTACCTCCTCTCAACAATAACATATCTGCTTAAATTATCTCAAAATGCTTTTTAGAAACACCATCTGCTATTCTTACATCAAAGTAAGTCCTGTTGTAAAACACAAAGTTAAAAGCTGTGTGTACAAACTGTCACAAGTGAATTTATAGTCTGACAACACATAAACAAGAAAAATGAGAGCAATATTTGCTTAACAGCTAAGCAATCTACTGCTATTAAAGAGAGAACATTAATAATACAAAGAGCTATTGAGGATGAGTACTTACAAGTTTCTGAACATGTCAGTACAGAGGGTGTATGCTTAAAGTTCTTAAAACAGTAAATAGGGATGTAAATGCTTTGGTCCAATGGATTTTAGCCCTTAAAGACATATATTTTTATAAAGAGTATAAAAAAGTTATTTCTTCTTCTACCATTGCTTCCTTT